TATTTGGAAATATCGTTTTTCTCATATTTTGTGCACATAGTGGTATCACCTTCAGATTCATATTTTTTGATCAGGTTAATATAAGATTCTATTATTTCTGTGCTTACACAATTTCCGTTACACTTAACATATAACCAGTAATACAAGTATATACAACCGGCATCTTTTCCATTATATTTCCCTTCTAATTCATTTAAATAGTACATAAATTTGTGGCATATTTCTTCGTCCTTACATTTTTGAAAATATGAAATTTCATTATTAACATTGTTGCAATTATTATTATACGTAGTCCTATTATTACTATCACTGTAGGTTCCTATAATATTTTTGTATTCAGAAATTTCCTTAACAATTTCATACTAAAGAGAAAAAATTAATTAAAAAAAAAATGGTATTATTTTTATTCATGTTTTAAATAATTTATGGAATATACATACGTTACTATATTGCAATTTATATTTTTATAATTTGAATGTACAATATTTCCACCCATAATTGATACTGTTATGTTTATATCTAAATAAAATTATTAAGCTTATGAGAAATATATATGAGATTGTGAACATTATGCCATAAGTTACTATGAGCGTATTAACCCTAAATTTTTTTTATTAAAATATTGATTTATTATTGGCATTCTCTCAATATATGATTAATTAATTTACATCCTAATGTATATTATACGTAACTTGTAACATATAATATATTTTATTCTATAATTAAAGTCTAGAAAGGAAAACAAGGATACGTAACTTTGAAATAATGAAATATTATTTGTTAAAATATAATATGAATGTTATCTTTATGAATAGAAGTTATGTATTATTAATAATTCACTGAATAAGGAAAAAATATGATTAAAAATTACATGTGCTGTTGAATATAATATATGTATAAAACATTTTGCTTAAGTATTTATTGTTTTTATTTCACTAGTATATATAACCTAATTTTACGAATATAAAAGTTTTGAATGAACTGTATCATATTCAAATATTTTGTATTTTCAATAATAATATAATAAAATGGATACGAAATTAGTAAATTAAATTTTCATAATTTTCATTATTTACATATAAATCATATGAATAAATGAATGAATATTTTAATATAATATAACGATCATTGTGGGGATAAGGCGGAATGTAACATAATATTATAAATTATATACAAAATTTTCACGTTTTAGGATTAAGAATATAGTGTTTACAGCATTAACCATTAGTTTATAGTTATATTTACATTATATGTTTGTCTACATTAATAGATTTTATTTTTGCCTCATATTTATTTATGTATGTATGATATTTTATTTTTTTTACTTAATATTTTTGTATTATGAAATTCAGAGTTTATTTCAATATTATATATATATATATATTATTTTGTATTAATTAGTAAATCTGGATTTTATTTGTTTTTTTTTATATACGAATTTTTGAAATAACAAATAATAATTATTTATATATTTTTTAATATTGAGTAATTCTTACAAAATTAATATATTGTGCAAATATACATATATTTATTTAATTGCAATAGGTACCATTGTAATATATGTAAATATTTGTAATAAAGAATATTATGTTCACACTGTGTTTATATAAATTATATATACATTTTTGGATGAAATAGTACTTATATTTTGTAACATTAAAAATTTTTTAGAATATGAAAATTTTTTTATATATGTCAGAAATAACACATTCTTTATATGAACATGAAGAAATAATGAAATATTTAAAAGAAAAAATTTTTGTTTTACTTTTATTTAGATTTCTCTTAAATAGCATATGTTACACATAACTTCTCATGAATTGGAACCACTAAATTACGTACTTTTTATATATACTGAGGAATATAAAAATTCATTTCTATTTATATTATATTTATAATAATATTTTATATATTTTATTCTTATTTACGTAAATAATTTTTGGAAATTTATTTAATATTTCACAATAAGGAGCTAAATAATTAATTAAAAATTTTAGTTCTTTTTAAATGTATAAATCATGTGTAATATTAAAGTACTTTATATTTAAATTATATAAATATCGATAGTAGAAAAATATGAAACTAGATATATTTTTAAAATTTCAAAGGAAATGTAATTATATATACAATATTCACGTGAGAAAATGGGAAAATAGTTGGTTTCATGATTATATGTACATTCTTTTTACATTAAACAAAGATTACATTTCATATATGTTATATACTCTGAATGAAGTATATAAATATATGCTCAATAATACATTATAATGTCCTTTTTAAATAATAACTATAAAATGCATCTCGTTAGAATCATTGTGAATTATAGTCTACTATATTAAAACATAATATATTTTTGAGGAAAATGATTTAATTATTATTTTATAATAATTT